TTCCATTTCGTTAATCATTATGATTATTGTTATTTTAAAAGAATTTGTCCAGAATTTCGAGTTGGTTACTGAAGAGCTTATCAATACAATAAAAGGTAATTTTACCTAAATTGATGGCATGCACCTGTTACCGTACACTTAATTGGCAGCATATTATTTTAGCTTCGGAACCCATTGACAATTCTCAAATAAAATTATATGATATTAAATGGATGCTGTTTCATCATCTGACTTCTTTCTTCGAGGTATGTAATAATCAAGCCATATTATACAATATATTGGAAATATTTTTAACACCAACTTTTTTAATTGACCTGAGTTAGATATGCAATTATGCTCTGATCGGATTTGGGCTTTTAAATGAAACACTAAGTGTCAAACATAAGAAATCTGGTCTAAGAGCATTGGTAAATGATAATAAGTGGAATAAATATTTTTAGCCTATATCGTTAATTGCTTTTAATCTTATTTTTTCAATTCTTTTTAGGCCCAAAAAGTTCAAAATATGTCTTTGACAATAAAGAACCACCTTACATCTTTAAAAAAACAATTAAGTTGCTTGAAAGAACTTTTTAAAAATGATGTCGAAGATAGTGATCAAATTTTGCTTTACATTAAATCTGAACCACATGTTGAGTTTTGCGACGAGGAGGTAAATTAATGCTGAATTTTACGTATCTATAATTATATACAATTGTTATTCAGATAAAGGCTTATTTTTTTTCCCATGAAATAGGAAAGTATACCGCTTATTAGAGAAATTTTAGGTAAGATTAAAACAAATTGGCAAAACAACATTTTGAATATGATTAAAGAAATAGAAAGTAAAGTTGAAACAACTGAAAAATAGATTATTTATTTACACATGCATAATCATTTGTAAAGCTGTGTTTCTGTCCTAGCTAGGATTCGCTTTTTGTTTATAGGTTATAAAAGATTTGTTTAGTTAGATATTAATTTATACATTTTTGTGTTTGGTATATCGTTTATAATAAACATGAACAATTTATAAAATTATTTATTCATACAAATACAAATGTAGGCAATTAGTTATAAAATAATAACATTTATTAAAATTTTAAGGTTTATTATGTTCTGCGCTATTTTCCGATTTATTTGCTTCGAAATTAATGTGCCATTCGTAAATCTAAATGTATGTATGGTATTTACAATCGTTATACGTAATTATTTCATGTACAAAACGTTGTTTCGATCACAATTACAAAAAAGGACAATATTATGTTGACCACATAATAGAGATTTTCTTGTCGCTCTTTTGTTCTCAAACATACTCCAAACAATATCTGACTAGTCGTTCAACTATGATGATTCGCTATTCCATAGGATTAACCACCACCAACTTATAGCCGACTAACCATGCCATCATTCAACTTTTAAATGGAGTATTTATGATGTACTTGTTCCAGAGCTTTTTATTCAAAGTTGTCCAATCCGCAACATAATGTGTATCTAGTATATATACACATATATACAAATATATATATATACTGTATTAAATTTTTTAGTTTTGATATTTTTAATTTAAAAATAAATTATAGATCTAAAAAAAATATATCTACTTCT